GTCCTTCTTGAGCATGTGATCAGCTGGTTTTGGTTGTCAGCAGCAAAACTGGTTGATCCACTCTGAGAAGGTGCTATTTAAGAGACTGAGCTGAATACAGCACCTCAGACTGAGGAAGTCTCTCGGATGAGAGACGAAACGTTTCTACATTTTTTTGTTGATTTGCTTTGTTTTGTTTTTTTGAATGTCCAGAGGACCAGATTTAACTTTTTTAGATTTTTCTACCTGGATTATTGAGCATGCATCAGGATCATTTGATTGTTGAGGCCATCTTGAGTTAATTGGTTTTTATGTTCATCTAATGATTATTTTCTGAAAGTTTTGTTAAAATCGGCCAGTGTCTCCTGAAATATTTTGCTAATGGTAAACTCCAAAGATAAATTTTCCACAAAGATTGTGCACTATCTGTTAGAGCTCAGAACATGTGTTGGCCTTCGTTCTCAGCCACCACACCACCAGTATGTAAAATGACTCTAAAAGTTCATGGGTTTTCAATATTTAGGTTCTTCAGGTTTCACTAAAAGCAATCCAGTAGTGAATGAAATATTTTGCTAACAAGGGGTCAATTAATTATTTGTTTTTGTCAATTCTTCCACATTCATGCGCTGTTGGGGAAAAAAGAACCTGCTCTAAATAAGGCGGGGTCAATGGTGTTGACTCATAAAAGTCTCTGCTCTGATTGGACAACGCTCCTGCCAATCACTCTTACGCTCTGCAGGTGGAAAGCTGTGCTCTATAAGCGGCTGCAGTGAAGCTGAGGAAAAACAGATTTCATGGTAAACCCTTCGCTTATTTGTGATTCGGGAGCCTACTAATTATATCTGTAGCAACAGACATACTGTAGATTACACATCTGGTTACGAGCCCAGTAATTTAGAGTGAAAATGCAGTTATAAAGAAGCAGGAGTAACCTTCATTTGACATAGCGGGGATGCTTAGCTAGCTCACGCTGTTCCATTTAAATAGTGTAGCAGCGCTGGGTGCTTTGAAGGGAGAGATGCTAGTATTCCTGCATGCAGTTCTCAACACATAATGCGACTGTTATATCAGTATCCGGCCGAATAATACTAGCTTAAATACTAATTTGTAATACAGTATGTTACAAACATTTTTCTTGGGTTTTCTGAAGCAAACTTAAGTGTGTAAAGTTAAGTTCCGTACGGTGTATCGAACTGGATGAGGTCAGTGAATTTATTCGTGTGCTACTGCTGCAACGTACTGTAAAGTTGTGTTATATTTATCCCAGCAGCCCAGAGCACCGAGGCTCCCTGTCCTGGATGAAGGAGGATAGTCACTTTAGCCTCTTTAGCCTGATAAGCCCGGGGACTTCCGCCCACTGTAACAGAGAAACACTAGAGTGGACACTGATTGCGCTAAGCGAGTAGTTTGGCAGCCATCTTGAGAAGATCTTTGTGTATCAGTCTATGATGTTTACATGTGGAAGTCGCACAATCTTTACGCCATGCGCGTGCTATACATTGTGTTATCAGCCCAGAAGCACACAAGCAATCATTCTAACCAGAACATGAATTTAAGTAGTTAAGTGCTTTACATGTGTGTGTAGTCTAACTGCTTCCTGTGTCTGGAGTAAATTTCAACTGGACTAACACCTTAATGGGGGGCAGGGATGGGCTAGAGGCAGGGCAGCTGACCTGGGACCAGAAAGTCGGGGCTCAGCTCCCAGCCATTCCCACACTCTGTGGTGCCTTAGAGCAAGACACCTAATCCCTAATTGCCCCCCGGGCAGTTTACACACCTGCCCACTGCTCCACCTGGGTGCATCCCAGGTGTGATGGGTTAAATGTAGAGAACTAATTTCACCGTTGTATGGGAACATACAATGATGACAACATATAGCACTTACTTACAAAAAGAAAGACAATAAACAAAAATTAGAATGTCTAAATTGTATGTACAGAAAATGTAAAAGTTAATTCAAAGAATCTCAAAGTTAAGTCTACTCTACTCTGTCTCATTTTTTAATCCGACCCTCTGGGCGGATTTTTAAAATTTTTTATTTTTTATTTTGTTGAACCATTTTGTCTTTTATCCAAAAGACTTCGTCAGACGGACAAAGTCTTTTGGATAAAAGACGAAATGTTTCAACCATTTTTTAAAATCTGTCCAGAGGACCTGGCTTAACTTTGTTAGATTTTTCTACCTGGATTATTGAGCATGCATCAGGACATTTCTTCACAGAACACTTCATTTACATTTTACACAATGTTTCAACTTTTTCAACTCTGAGGTTGTAATATTCTTGTTGATATTGCCTCAGATGATTATGGGTTCAATAAGTCAGTCCGTTCTATAGAGTTGTTTTCTTAAGATTAACTACATCTGTTTCGTCTTTTTGTCTCTAGATGGCGTCAGCAAATGCCACGTATGGTCAGAAGGAGTCCTCAGACCAGAACTTTGATTACATGTTTAAAATCCTCATCATTGGTAACAGCAGCGTGGGGAAAACGTCCTTCCTCTTCCGTTATGCAGATGACTCGTTTACACCAGCCTTTGTCAGCACAGTGGGCATTGACTTCAAGGTCAAAACCATTTATAGAAATGACAAGAGGATAAAGCTGCAGATCTGGGTGAGAACTCAGGTTTGGTGTTTGAGTACACCATGTTTTATGAAACTCAGGTTTGTAATGATAGAAAAATGTGGGGGAGTAAGCAAAAACACGTTTGTACAGTGGAACAAAACGGCTGTTAAACTCTTCTGTAATTGTTTTGAGCTGAAATCAAAACTAAAAAATTCAGTTAATTGCACAACTTTAACGGTAAGACAACTAAATTAATTATAAAGAAAGCAGCAGGGGGGGTTTGGGTTGTAGCCTTCATTTTTGCCTGCTTTAATGAGACAACTGCTGCACACAGAATTAGTTTACAGTTTATGCCACTGTCCATAATACTCAGAATTAGTTTAAACATCTGGTTTTCATGCCATCATGTCTTCTGACTGCTGTGACATTTGTATATCGTACTCCTCTAATCACCTTCAGGGGTTCAGCTCTGTCCTCTTCCCTCAGTCACTTTATCAACCTGAAGCATCTTTTTACTTGTCATCCTCAACCTCTTCTGACCAAAGCTGTACATACACTTTTAATAATCTCATAAAAAAATGTTTTTATTTGTGAAGGACACTGCTGGGCAGGAGCGCTACAGGACAATCACCACAGCTTACTACAGAGGAGCCATGGGCTTCATTCTTATGTACGACATCACCAATGAGGATTCTTTCAACGCTGTGCAAGACTGGTAAGAAACAACACAGTGTGTGGACAAGGGTGGCAGTTTGTTAAATAGATGGTCTGGTTATAAGTGATGTTCTTTCAAATAGTTGTTAGTAATTAGTAGCTTATCAGCTGGGGCATTAATCATAGAACATGAAGTAACCTCGTCCAGGCTAGGCTAATGGCTAGCCAAACTAGGGCCCGTGTTTTTGTCCTTCATTGCGAAGAGAGAATTGTTAATACTGTCCAAACATCTGTCCGTTCATGCACATTGTGAGCATAACTTTAAAAACAAGTAAGGTACTGTACTGACTTCCATTTTGGTGTGTAGCTGTATCTAGGCGTAAGAAAGGTCACTACAGTAGTCCCTTGTTTATCGCGAGGGATCCGTACCCTGAAGCCCCGCGATAAGTGAAAAACTGCCAAGTAGGAATAGTAGTACAAGTAATAAGTAGTTGTTTATACAGATGTATGTACAATATTGGATTTTTGGCTGATATCCGATATGTTAAAACTTATTTGGCTGATAACTGATATTTTATATACATCCCTTTGTCAGAACATATTCCTCTTATTTAGGCTTATTTTCTACAAAAATTGTGCAACAGCTGTAACAGCTGGTGACATATATTCAGTAACAGCCATATGATATGCACAGCACTTTAACTTATATTAAATGAAATGTGTTAAATGTTATTTATTAGCATTAGTCAGCTGCGATGCTGTCTCACTTGTGGAGGCTTGTTCCAGGTTTCTAGCTGCAGTGTGGGATTCTCTGCACTCCTGTGCATGAAGGACAGACTTTTTAAGTTCAAAGTTTTTGTCTCATTGTGCCGTAAGACTAATCTTGCTAACGGGGCTAAGACAATGTCCAATTGTCTGTGGTAAAACTCATCCAAGTGCTAACGGCTATTGGTTTCTCAGTAACGTCAGAATAGATGGCTTGTAACTCGGGTAAGGCTATGTCAGAAAAATATCTCCGACTGGAGACGATGTAGCGAAGCTCAACATGGTCCGTAAATCGTTGGTTACGTACTGTAACCCCAGATTCTATGAATATAGGCGTAGCCCTTTAAGGCTGTCGCTGATGGGTTTATCCCGTTATGCGTAGCATAAGCACTGAAAAAATTTTGTCCACGCCCACCTGCTGTGTGGGCCCCACCCGGTCCGTATAAATTACGTTAAGAGCGGGAAATCGGCTCCCAAAATGGCTTTTTTCTTCAGCCATTTAGGAGCCAGTGAGGCCCGACGCTTAAAGGGCTACGCCTATATTCATAGAATCTGGGGTTACAGTACGTAACCAACGTTCTATGTCATATAGGCTTCGCCCTTTAAGGCTGTCGCTGATGGGTTAAGGGCGAAGCGGATGTGGTCCTCGCCTCACTGGGTCCATTCGAACACAGTAAGAAGCGGAAGCTTGCCCAAAAACGTCTTGTCACTCAGCTCCCCGTGTGCATAACTACGCATCGCGTAATTATGTGCCATGCACAGACGCATGTTGAGTAACTATGCGTTCTGACAAAGCATGAACGCCCCGGAAAACCTTCAACGGGAAGAAGATGTTGAAAGGAGGGGGGGGGGGGGGGGGGG